GTGTGAAGCCTCCCTCCACCAGCCAGAAGAGCCACCACAGCTGTGAACAGCACCCACCAGAGGCTCTGCTATCAACAGAGGAGCCGCTGCTACCACAACCGCCCAAGGAGCAACCACAGACCGAGGAGCCACTGCCACCCAGGGAGCAGCCACTGCCACCCAGGGTCCAGCCACTGAACGATTCAACAACTAGTAATGTCAGTGAGATCAAACATGGGTAGACAAAGAAACCCCCAAAGGAAAGAAAAGGAGGACTCGCCAGAAAAGCAGCTAAGTGAGACAGAGATATGCAACATGACGGAAAAAGAATTCAGAATAAGGTTCCTAGAGTACATGCACCGGATGTTCAAGAAGCAAGAAGAAACAGATGAAAAACTCAACTACGTATGCAAGAAGCTAGAAGAAACAGGTGAAAAAATCAACAACTTAAGTAAGTCCCAAGAAGAAATGAAGAGCGACATAGCTGCAATAAAAAACACCATTGAAAGTATCAACAGTAGACTGGGAGAAGCGGAGGACCGAATCAGTGAATTAGAAGACAAGGAAGCAAAACACACTCAAACTGTACTGCAAATGGAGAAAAAAATTAAAAGACAGGAGGAGAGCCTAAGGGAGCTTTGGGACAACATGAAACAAAACAACATACGAATAATAGGGGTGCCAGAACAACAGAAAGATGAACATGGATTAGAAAACCTATTCGAAGAAATAATATCAGAAAACTTCCATGAGGTGGGGAAGAAAAAAGTCACACAAGCCCAGAGAGTCCCAAACAAGGTGAACCCAAAAAGACCCACACCAAGACACATCATAATTACCATGGCAAATGTTCAGGATAAAGAGAGAATCTTACAGGCTGCAAGAGAGAGACAGAAAGTAACATACAAGGGATCTCCCATTAGATTATCAAATGATTTCTCAACAGAAACACATCAGGCCAGAAAAGAATGGACGGAAATCTACAAAGTGATGCAAAGCAAAGGACTGAATCCAAGAATACTCTATCCAGCAAGGCTATCATTCAAAATTGAAGGGGAAATAAGAAGCTTCACAGACAAAAAAAGGCTAAGGGAGTTTATCACCACCAAGCCAGCAATGCAAGAAATGCTAAAGGGACTGGTGTAAAAAGAAGAAATAAAAAGCTCAGAAAGAAAACAGCCACACAAAAAAAGAAATGGCTACAAACAAGTACCTTTCAATAATAACTTTAAATGTAAATGGACTAAATGCTCCAACCAAAAGACATCGAGTGGCTGAATGGATAAAAAAACATGACCCATACATCTGCTGTCTACAAGAGACCCACCTCATTAGAAGGGACTCACACAGACTGAAAGTGAAGGGATGGAAAAATATCTTTCACGCAAATGGAAAGGAAAAGAAAGCTGGGGTAGCAATACTTATATCTGACAAAATACATCTCAAAGTGAAGGCCATAACCAGAGATAAGGAAGGCCACTTCATAATACTAAAGGGATCAATACAACAAGAAGATATAACCCTGGTAAACATATATGCACCCAATGCAGGAGCACCCACATACATAAGAAAACTTCTGGAAGATATCAGGGGAGAGATCGACAACAATACAATCATAGTAGGGGACTTTAATACACCACTGACATCACTGGATAAATCCGCTAGACAAATAATCAGCAAAGAAACAGCAATCCTAAATGACTCACTAGATCAGATGGACTTAATTGACATCTTCAGAACACTTCACCCCACAGCTGCGGAATAGACATTCCTCTCAGGTGCTCATGGGACATATTCAAAAATAGACCACATATTGGGTCACAAGCAAAGTCTCCACAAATTCAAGAAGATTGAAATCATAAAAAGCTTCTTCTCAGACCACGATGGCATAATGTTAGAAATAAACTACAATAAAAACAACCCAAAATACTCAAACACTTGGAAGCTGAATAGCATGTTATTAAATATTGATTGGGTTACCGATGACATCAAAGAAGAAATTAAAAACATCCTGGACACTAATGACAATGAAAACACAACAATCCAAAACTCTGGGACACAATGAAAGCAGTCCTGAGAGGAAAGTTTATAGCTCTACAGGCCTATCTCAAAAAACAAGAAAAAATGGTAGTCAATCATCTAACTC